CTTTTATGCCATAAAGTTCTAATTTTCTGAGTAGGATACTGTGGTCTACGCAATCAAATGCTTTCTTTAGGTCAAGAAAAACAACTCCATTTAGGTACCCTTTGTTCATATTTAAATACCATTCATTCGTAACAGATAGTAATGAAGTTTCTGTTGAATGCTTCCTTCTGAAACCTGCTTGTTGCTTCTTCTGCTTCTGTTGAATGCTTCTTTCTGAAATTACACACCCGACTGGTAGAGATCGATACCAAAATAAACACAAAATCTTTATTTTCGATACCGGAAGTGAGTACTTAAATTGCTAGCATCGGTTACTTTCGATACCAGTCGATCGGCGGAAAAAAACCATTTTTCATTACTGTATGTAACCTAAATAAAGCTATAAGTAAACCAAAAGCACAAAACGTAATAAACATTCTCCATACATGACTTGGCGCGCCACATTTTGAATATTAAGAGTCATTTTAGTGGTTTATGAGTCTCTTTTCAACCAAGAATTGAAGTTAAACAAATCGTCTGATAAAGGGTGTAAGTATCGAACGATACCACGTCAGTAATCGATACCGATAGCGCTGTTTGTGGTATCCCTGGTATCGAATGCCGAGTACTCGGTATCGCCCATCACTAAAAAATATGGTTAGCGTCATGAAAGTTTGTATCGGTGTTAATGTGGGTGCACAAATACTGATTCAGCTGCACTTTATGCCCGAAAAATTGTCGCAAAAAGTTTAAAAAACCCAACTACATCTTCGATTCCCCTTGGCGTTTGAAACGCCGTTCCGTTCACTCTGTACTTGAACAATTGCCCGGAAATTTTAAGAACAGAAATGTCTGCATTTGTCGTGTTAATATTAGAACAATTATAAGGCATGCACTTTCTAAATGCTGCATTACAACGCAAAATGTAACTGTTGTCACCGTTGTAAGGCTTTGTGGACTAGCATCGAGAGCGCTGCGCCCGTTTTGTGATTACGTACAGTTGTTTAATAGCAGTGGATATCACTTAATTGACGGGGATATGCATTCAATGGCAAGGAAATAGAGGCTGTAAATTCAACAGCAAAAGGTATGAATCTAGGAAATAATTGCAACATCATAGCCTTTTTAATTGCTATAAGCCTATAACTGCATGGGTGGGAATTCCTGTACCGAAATTGGATTTGCCCCTCCAATTGATCATATTGATTCGGCCCCTGAAAAAAAATATGTTTAACAATTGGTCGTAACTGTTCGGAGTGCAGCAAATGGCGTTCCTGTGATTCAAAGTTTTTCCGGTGGGTTGACACCCGACACACCAGGATTATGCCAACCAAAGCATTTTCTGAGATTGAGGTTTAAAGTCGTAGTTTAATCCATTTAGCACCAATGCTCTAAGTCTCCTTGACAATTAGTAAAATTATATGGCATTAGACTGAGTTAAATAATAAAGTAGGATACACTAGGGCAGAATCTGCATGCGATCCAATTGGTTAACTGACTGGATTGCACATGAGCAGATAGTCTGACTACCCACTGATCAGTACCATCGCTTTCCTCTTGACGAGTAAAATTGTATGGCGTTAGACAGAATAAATTAATATAGAGACTGGGGGCACATTAGGGTGCCTTGCAAGTCAATTGCTTAAAGATACAGTTTGGTAAAACATTAAAACCTATTAAGTTATAAATTATCTGCCATGATCACCTTCGTTATATCTTGCACCTACGCGCAATATTAAAAAATGTTCTGGCAAATCAGTAATGCATAACTCCAGCTAGGAAAATAAAAGTACATTAAATGAGACTATATAATAAAATATGCTTTGTGTAAGGAATTTTCAGAGGGGGGTGGGGGTGGGTGGGTGGGGTATGGGAGAAAGGCAAAACGCTTACTTCAAAATAGGAAAATGTGGGCTGTCATACAAGGCTTTTGTGCACATTGAAAATTACGGATATTTGTGATACCATGTGATTGGTTACCATCGTAATACATGTATACATATTTTGTTTCTGTCATTGTGGGTAAACATCCTCTAGTGCTGGATGGTACCTGAATTCGATAGACCAATACTGAATACTTGAATATTGGTCAACCTCGTACCCAACCCTGGAAAAAATTTTGAAAATCCATAGAAGGTCATAGAATGGAAATTGTATGGACCTTTATTGGAAATAGAATGAATTTTAGTTATCCACAATAATTTAATATTTCCATAGTATGTATATAGCATGGAAGTAGTATGGATATACTATGGATTTTGTGGTGCAATTGCAAATTTCGTAGTATGGATTTCACTTTTTTTCCAGTACAGGGCCTGCCCGCGCGATTTTCTAATATAAATATTGGTATCGTTTGATATACTGATATCTAGCTATTTTGATATTAAAATGAAATTTTAATTTAAATTAATGAACACAAAATTTCTTTCAGAGCAAGAAGTGAGTACTAACATTGTTGTCTGCAATGTTGGTCAGGGGGGAAGTGTTTAATTATGCTATATGTAACCCATTAATGTTGCATTGCAACCTAACTTATTATTTGCTCTGTCTATAACGCCAGACGATTTTACTTGTCAAGGGGAAAGCACTGCTCAATGGGTTAAAAGGATAAAGGGAAAAATAATATATATTTTTTCAATCTTGTTCCCAATCACGACCCTAACCCCAATAGTATATTGCGCATGAACTATGAGGATACAATTGTTAAATGTCATGGTCTCTTGTCAACAGTGGAATAGAAAACCTAGATGGGACGGGGGACTGGGGTGGTTGGGTAATTATCAGGATTTTAGGCATCTCACTCAATAGAACTGATTGTTGAAGGAGTTTGTAGTTGGAAATTTCGACTGTAAATCTTATACATTTATTGGATCTAACTTGAATTTGAATTTATTAATTGACATTCCCTAAAATGAGTTTTTCAATATAAAGACTCCATATTTTCAACATTTTTCGTTTGGCTCGTAAACGACATAAAATCGTTTGATTTTCGTCATATACAAAAGTGCCCCTTTTGGCCAATGCCCCTTCACTTTCGAAATACTTCCGCGGCCTCTGGGCCCTGCGATGCAGCACTTTAACCAACTGAGCTAAAGAGTGACAGTTGTCGAGCTCTAACCACAAGTTCATGTATATATTATATACTAACTATATATTCTCTTTAGTCTGCTTTGGTTCAGCAACGATGCAGAATGTTAATATTTCGAACATTAGTTGAAACGTAGTTGACACTTTCATCATGGATACACTGCAGGGGAAATAGCCTTAGGTGCAACAATGCATCATTTGTGACACTAATAATTTCACGCAGAATATTTTTTCTTGAAGAGTTGACTGAGTAAAAATTTAGTCACTGGTAACCCGATCTTGATGACAGCTGCAAATTGTTTTCCTTCCACCAGTTTATACTAAAACAGCCTTTTTGAAGCAGTTACCAGGCATCACATTGCATGATGTCAGATTTGACTGATGTCTGACTACAGTATGCTTGCATTGATCATTGGTTTGTTCTTGCAAAAACTCATGCACAATCAACTCATTCTCAGGAAGTTTTGAATTTGTTCATTTTTCCATGGTGGTTCTATAGAAATATGAAGTGAGAAATTAATATATTATTGTTATTTGGAATGTTTTGTAATAATGCATTACGGTCTAACTACCCGCGGCGGGTGCGGAGGCCCTTGCTTGCGAGGTTGTCTAACTGCTTGATTAGCGTTTTTCGCTGTTGTTTATACAAAAACTCCCTGCTTTTTTTCTTCTGCCACTTAGCCATGTGTCTGTGAATAAATGTGGCTAACCTTAGTGTGTTTATTTCAATTATTATACTAGTAATCATTTTAGTTTCAATTCTTATAGTATTAATCACGTGTAGTTATAAGGCATCACCTCAGATTATATAGAATTGCAGGACAGCAGGTGTAATTCCTGCCAGAGTATCTAGGCAGGTTGTGTTTTTTTGCTGCTGTTCCTTGTTAGGGAAAGTACATTTATTACGCCGAGGGGGGAGGGGGGGAGGATAAAGATATCTTGAAAAAAGCTCATATTTTTACAGGGCCCCTGTTGAGGTTATTGTTAAATTTTCAACGCCCCCCCGCCCTGCAAGTTTTTAAAATTTTCAATGCCCCCCAGAATTCGCTATCGAATGAGTAAAATCCGAAATCCTCTCTTGTCATAGATACAATTTGCAGTTCCTGAAGATGTTTGATTTGTTCAAGCACGCGCTTCTCCTCAACAAAAATACCGACCTAATGCTTCTTTCACCTCAGTATCTCCAGATGAAAAGGCACCGTCTTTAAAAAAAACATTTTAAATTGGCTCTAGGGGCCAAATTATCAACAGGTTGTTGTTGTCCGTCATTCAGCGTAGTCGGAGTCTTGAACACGTTCATATAGTGGCCAGGATTTCCTGGATCAGGGTAATGTGCTGGAAGCTTAATACCGAGCAGTTGACCAGTTCCTATCAAGAGTAACTTTCAATTGTCTTCTCGGGGTTTATAAACAGTTTATTTTCGAAATACTAAGTTGCGACCAAATTTAGGATCTCTCCTATCTTTGTTTTTGCACTAGCGATATCTTCAATTGGAAATGACATGAAGCTCTTAGAATCGTCGACGAATGATTCCAACTCGGACGACTGTGGTACTCTTGAGAGGTCATTTATATAGATGCAGAACAATAGCGGTGTTATTATTGCTCCCTGAGGCACTCCGTGGGTAATTGGAAGGACTTCGGATACCGGGGAGTCAATGCGAACGAACGGCTTTCTATCTGAAATGTAGCTTTCAAACCAGCTAAGGGCTTCACCTGAAACCCCAATGTTGCTTTGTTTCTTTAACAGGATTGAATGGTCCACGCTGTCAAATGCTTTTGAGAGATCCAAAAGGACTAGAGTAGTAAGCTTTTTGTTATCCATCGATTTTAGCAAAATATCATTGACTAATAGCTAATATACTGAGTGTTTCGGTTGAATGATACTTTTTGTTTCCACTTTGTTCGGATGAAAGGCGGCAAGTGAGGTTATTAAAACCGCTAAAGTGTTTGAGAGCAACTTTTTCGCAGATCTTTGATAGTACTTTGAGCATTGAAAGTGGGCGGTTATTTGAGGCAACTTCATGGTCGCCTTCCTTTAAAGTGCCTATGACACGACATTTCACCCCAAATGTTTATGATGACATTTTCAAAACGCAATATTTTACCTTGATAAAATATTTTTACCAGCGAATACAGAGAGTTTATTACCAGTTATAAAATTAATACATATACAGGAGCAATTTTTAAGTTTTTTAAATACGTATTCGTACGTCAAGAAAACTATACTTTTCTGAAAACTCATTATGTGATGTGATGTGATGTGATGTGATATGATGTCACACCGGTGATATTTGCATATGAAACAAAGTTGAATATCTTGAACAGGGAGCAAGTTACCAAAATTCTATAAAAGAAATTATTAAGTCATTTTAAGTGATCTTTACAATGCAACCATAAACATTTGGGGTGAAATTTCGTGTCATAGGCACTTTAACAGTGGTATAATTTCTGCTATTTTCCAGCACTCAGGAAAAGTCGAGGTAGTGAAAAGTTATTAATAATGTCTGTCAATGGGCCAAGTATGACCGGAAGACAATCCTTAATAATCCGCATGCTAATTTTGTCTGGTCCTGGAAATTTGTTCGACGGCATTGTTGTTATTATGCATTGCACCTCTGTGCATCAGTGTGACGGGAGTGAACTTGAACAATACCGTAGAGAAGAGTTCAGATCTCCTATTCTGGCACTCCAACTCAGTTGATATATTTAGGTTATTTTGTAGGGTTAACGTTTTACCGGTTTCGGCAGGTCGTTTCCCCACAGATTGAAAAAACTGGTTGAAATCATTGGCAACCTCTAATGTGTTTTTGTGGTGAGTCAAAATTCTTTTATCTTTTGATGGAATGCACCATTAATCACTTTCCACAACGATCTAGGATTATCTTTATGGAGGTTAACCTCAATTCGAACATGTCGTTTTTCAGCAGCTTTTAAAATAGATTTGACTGATCTTTGGGCGTTTTTAAATGCTCTCCAATCTTCGACATCGCGTGTTTGTTTGTAACGACGGTGGAGTTGATCTCTGTGGGGCATTTGGTTTTTTATATCTGTGGTGATAAAGGGACAAGAACGGTTTCTTAATTATTCTGACTGGGGCATGGACAGCCAAAGTTGTGAGAAGGACGTTGTTGAACTTGTCGAGTTTGGAATTGACATTCGAATCCGAAAAGATGGAAACAAGCTCTTCCGATCTTGATGCGAGCTGGGCAGTGAACCTTTCGTCGTCGTAGTCCTTGCAGCTTCGCATTAGGATATATTGCGGTGGTGGCTTGGGTTGCTTCGTATAAAGCACTGCGTACACCGGTAAATGATCGCTTTTAGTAGTATCCATGACACCATTTTCGTTAACAAGATGGGAAGTTGACGTTATTAACGATTCACTAGTGTCTGTTAGTCTAGTTGGTGTTGTGATTAATTGGTTTGAGTTCATCTCGAGCATGAAGTTTCCTAGTGCTGTAATTCTCTGTACAGTCCTTCATAACGTGGCAATTCAGATCTCCCAATATAAAAATGGGCTTGTTTAGGAGAAGGGCTTGGACAAAACACGGTTTGGCAAGTTGGTTTCTAGGCAGGACAGCGGACACTCTGGTGGTCTGTAGGATATGCATATTACGATAGATTTTAACTTTTTGCTCCACTTTTGAAGATCCGCTAGAAATATTGGTGGCTACGTGGCTATGCAGTGAGTACGAGAACGAGGCAATGAAGTGATTGCGTAATTACTAAAGTGAGTTTTACGTTCTCGAGTTTTACGAGAACGATGCAATGAAATGATTACGTAACTACAAAAGCGTAACTGCTACGCAGTGAGTTTTTAAAAGAACGAGGCATTGATATAATGACGCAATTAATTACTAAAGTATACTGAAAGTATATTTTTTAGTGGCTACTTGGCTACGCAGTGAAGTTTTTAAAGACCGAGACATTGATATAATGACGTAATTACTAAAGTATACTGTAGGTATATTTTTTAGTGGCTACGTGGCTACGCGGCTACGCAGTGAGGCTTTGAAAGAACGAGACATTGGTATGATGACGTAATTACTAAAGTATGCTGTAGGTATATTTTTTAGTGGCTACGTGGCTACGCGGCTACGCAGTGAAGTTTTTAAAGAACGAGACTCGATGAAATTCATCTTTTCTCTATTATTATGTATTGCGTAAATTTGGCTTTGGGGCCCGAGTTACCTACGGAGGAAGCCCCCTAAAAATCACGTGTGCACGTGATAAAAAATGCTAACAGTATAAATTAGACCAAAATTTTCCCGGATGAACACCCAGATACTCCGCCGCTAAATAACGAATCACATTAACGGGTATAACTCTTAAGCTCCTTGCAACCATCTTCGTGTTTGACTTCGCAGTTCAGGAAAGTGCATGGCATCTAAAGGAATTCTTTTGAGAACTAAGGAATTTTAGGGCTCGTAACCAAGGAATTCTTCTAAGAGCAGATTTTTAATATATTCAAAATGGCGCGAAATACAGTACACTCGTATTCCTATTTTTCTACGAAAATATATTATAAAACTTCCAAGATACATATATTTCTTGGTGTTTCATCAATGGTCAGAATTCTCTCTGATAATTTCTTCACTGGTCTACAAACCCACAACTACTTGTTCGACTGTGTATGGTTACTGGTAGGACTGCAGTCTCAGATGGGAGCGATTGCAGAATACCCGTCCACTTTTGAAGATCCGCTAGAAATATCGGTGGCTACGTGGCTACGCAGTGAGTACGAGAACGAGGCAATGAAGTGATTGCGTAATTAGTAAAGTGAGTTTTACGTTCTCGAGTTTTACGAGAACGATGCAATGAAATGATTACGTAATTACAAAAGCGTAACTGCTACGCAGTGAGTTTTTAAAAGAACGAAGCATTGATATAATGACGTAATTACTAAAGTATACTGAAAGTATAATTTTTAGTGGCTACGTGGCTACGCGGCTACGCAGTGAAGCTTTTAAAGACCGAGACATTGATATAATGACGTAATTACTAAAGTATACTGTAGGTATATTTTTAGTGGCTACGTGGCTACGCGGCTACGCAGTGAGGCTTTGAAAGAACGAGACATTGGTATGATGACGTAATTACTAAAGTATGCTGTAGGTATATTTTTTAGTGGCTACGTGGCTATGCGGCTACGCAGTGAAGTTTTTAAAGAACGAGACATTGTTATAATGAAGTAATTACTAAAGTATACTGTAGGTATATCTTTTAGTGGCTACGTGGCTACGTGGCTACGCAGTGAGGCTTTGAAAGAACGAGACATTGGTATGATGACGTAATTACTAAAGTATACTGTAGGTATATTTTTTAGTGGCTACGTGGCTACGCGGCTACGCAGTGAAGTTTTTAAAGAACGAGACATTGATATAATGACGTAATTACTAAAGTATACTGTAGGTATATTTTTTAGTGGCTACGTGGCTACGCAGTGAACTTTTGAAAGAACGACACATTGATATAATGACGTAATTACTAAAGTATACTGTAGGTATTTTTTTAGTGGCTACGCGGCTACTCAGTGAGGCTTTGAAAGAACGAGACATTGATATAATGACGTAATTACTAAGTATACCGTAGGTATATTTTTTAGTGGCTACGTGGCTACGCGGCTACGCAGTGAGTTTTTAAAGGAACGAGACATTGATATAATGACGTAATTACTAAAGTATACTGTAGGTATTTTTTAGTGGCTACGTGGCTACGCGGCTACGCAGTGAGTTCTTAAAAGAACGAGACATTGATATAATGACGTAATTACTAAAGTATTCTGTTGGTATATTTTTTAGTGGCTACGTGGCTACGTGGCTACGCGGCTACGCAGTGAGTTTTTAAAAGAACGAGACATTGATATAATGACGTAATTA